TGTTTACACGTTAACACTAAAAATGATGGAAAGCCAGCAAAATAAATTTCCAGCAAAAGTTGCCTTTTTTCATGAATTTCCAAAAATGTTTTTGTGACATTCAAAATGTTGTTAACACAGCTTGGTCATGTTATCATGCTCTATTTTTAAATACAAACGCTACAATAGTTATGAAAGGCCATTTGAGAAAAAACACCTTAGATTTTGTGTTGATAACAGTCAAATGTGTCAACATGTTGAGTGTGATCCATACAAATGGATGACTTAATACATTGGGCAGATTTTCGACCCCTTATGATAGCACACCCCTCAGGTATATGTCTTGTTTGCACAACATATTAACTTACACAAAATCAAAATAGCACAAGATAAAAAAAACAGGGCTTTCGGGGATAATACAATAATAACCAACTCTTCAGACACATATATTACAATATAAGCAGCTAAAGTATAGACTGTTGTGCATAGAGGTAAATAAAGGGGATTGAGATGATTGCTGCTCCCAACGACAAGCCTGAACTCCTAAACCTGGATTTCAATACATTTCTTCTTTACATCATCCTGCGTCCAATCAAAATGCGTCCAATCAAATTACATAAAACGCTGATGTAGTTCATTTACATGACTTCTATCATCATAGATTTGTTTCACAAAACATCCAGGTATATGTCTTGGAGTACATTCTCACGGGAGTATATGGCTTTTTGTAAAACATGAAATAGTTTTAGCCTCCTAATCCATTTGAGCCCAGCAGATCATAAAGTCAGGAGATGGGAACACAACTCATGACAATGACAGTGATCTTGAGGTTCTGGATGAGCAAATATGGAAAAGTGGAAGTGGAGAAGAGGCAGTCCTTTGTTTCTAAGGCATTACTTCAATCGTTTCATGGATCTCAATGCATTGCTAATGGCCGCTGCAAAAAACAAACACAGACAGGGCTCGTCATGATTGTCACTGATGTCTGACTATTACATCATTTGATCACGTAGCATAAACACTGCTCATTCTCTACCAGTGTGTGGTTTTACATCAGCATTTAGACTTAAATGTCCATTATTTGTACAGCTTGTAGATACATATTGTGGTCAAGAGCTGAAATCAAAAAGCATGAATGAAAGGCAACTGCTTTACAGTATTCACTGAAATAATGGCATGTATTGTATTTATATTTTTGATAAAGATCTACCTGAATTTTCTGCATTATTTTAGCTACACACCTCTTTTATTTTTGCTCTAAACATGATCAGCACTATCTGAAAAATGGCAGGCCAACAAAACAATCAGTGGACACAACACTTTGGATACACAATCTCAAATTCAAGTAATTGCTTAAAATTCATAAAGTGAACAATAGTGCAAAATATGTCAACCAAAAAAACTAAAAAAGATTAATTCCGCTTATTTCCTCACCGAATAATTAAACAGTTCAGTTAGTGTCAGGCGATTCTTGCTGGTTGAATTAGGGCGAGTCTGACATTTAGACACGTTTTGATTATACAGTTACAGGCTGCTTATTTGCCCTTAGTACACATGAACCAAAGGATATGCACAAGATCAGCAAACATAAGAATTTCGGTACCACTTTACAATAAGACTACCCTTATAAAGGGTTTACGAATAGTTTGTAATTAATTAATTAATTAGGTTGTGAACACTTTATAAATCATTAATAAGCTTTTAAAAGACATGAGATAAACAGAGCAACTGTGCAGAGCAACCGGTTGCTTGCCAAATAGTGAGCCCACATCTATCTGTACTGCTAAGCCTTATATTGGCTACCTAGCTTACTTCATCTTCTTCTTCATTCTTAGTATCTGTTGCTCACTGAGTTGATTCTCGCTAAGTAGTCAATATAAGGCTTAGTCATCTTGCCAAATAGTGAAAACTATGTTAGAACTGGTTTATAAATGGTTCTTAATGATTATTAAAGTGTTTACAACCTAATTCATAACCTAATTATAAACCCTTTATGAATCCTTTATAAGGGTAGTCTTATTGTAAAGTGGTACCGACATTTCTAATAAAATTCCTCACATTCAAACCAATTAAACACCCTGATCCTAAAAGTGATAACAACCTACATATCTTTTGATTTTACATTTTGAGTTCACTAACATTTACTCTGTGTCCAGAAATGCTTTGCAGTATAATCTATTAAACAATGTTGATTTTATTCGCAGTGACTGACTAACTCTTGTACAGCGGACCTGAAATACATACTACCAGAGTGACAGTCAAACTACACCACGAGAGCATCAGGTTAGCAGGAATATACAGCACAGAGCACAGACTAAGCACAACTCACTTTATTCAGATCTAAAACAAAGTGTCAAACTGAGTCAGTGAGTATCTACAAACAAGTGTCCGACCAAAGCAACCCAAATGGAGTTTATCTTATTTCTCAGTTCAGCTGAGTTTGCTTTGAATGCACGCTTCAGTGTATGACTGAGGACAGGTGAAATCCACTTTAAAACGTAACGTTCATGTTGTTCCTAGTTACTCTCTCTTGTAGCCTGAATCCAAGAACAAAGCCATGAAGATAAATACAAGGAAAACAATGCAAAACAATTTAAAACTTCTGTTAGAGAATCTGGAAGGTGGATAGGACAGAGTAAGCTAGCTGTTCCCCCCTACTTCTGATCTTGTTGCTAAGTTAAGCTAACCGCCTGAGGGATTCATATTTAGAGTAGGGATATGAGAGTGTCATTGATCTTCTCATCTAACTTGTGGCAAAAAAGAAAATAACATACTTCCAAAAGTATCCAACTATTCTTTTAATGGTTGAGGTTAACAGTTTAGGAGTTGAAACTGTGTAGCTACGCAGTCAATCGTCCAGAGAGATGCTGTTCATGGAGAAGATAAACAGTAAAAACAATTATTTATTTAGTTGTGTTCCTACCTAGTTTTTGCTTCAAATCTTTCTTTGGCCAAAATCATAACCCCCAACTCATTTCTGAGGTAGTTATTTTCCTCATTTCCTGTTCAAGACAAGTCCGTATTCAAGAAGTCCTCTGTCTTAATTTTGTCCACAGAAACAGTTAAAGCAGCAGTAATCTGTAATAACAACATAATCGATCTGCCCTCTAACTGAGTTGAAGGTTCTTAACAGCATTGTTCTACGTTGTCTTTCTTGATAGTGATAGCTCAATGTTTTTGATGTCAAAGTAAAAAAAAAAGGTAACACTTTATATTAAGGTACACAAATTAACCATCAACTAGTTGTTAATTAACATGCATATTAGCAGTAGGCTATATTGGCTCTTTATTAGTCATTATAAAACACTTATTAATGCCTTATTCTACATGACCATATTCTACAAGTAATAGGCCATTAGTTGAGAGTTTTTCCTCAATAACCCTCTAATTAGTGCTTATTTGTTGCAAGTAAGGAAGTTGTTGTACATGAGTTTTGGTCTTAATATGCTCTGCTCAATATGGGCCTAATAAGGCAGTAGTACCACAAGAATAGTAATTATCCCATAATAACACTTAACAAATATGATCTATTCTTATGTAACGAGACATTAAACTATAAGTGTTGATTGTGTCAAATAACTCAAAATTAAGTAGGCCTATATATATATATCTAAGAATATGTTTTGGGGTATTGACAGTTCAGCTACCAATAGCAAGGTGATATTGACCTGTATGTTTCATATTTGCACATTTATATTTTTGTGAAATTTGTACTGAAGGTTATACAGGACACCGGGTACAGGAAGTAGGAGAAAGTGAAGTGAATATCATGGCAGTAGACTGCTACTAATTTTCCATATGCAACCTGAAGAGTAAGAGCGTCAAGTCCGTCATAAAGCAATGACTGTAAGTGTAAGCCTTACACTTACACTGTAAGGATAAGTAACATGTATTGTGTTTATGTGTCATTTATTGTGTCAGGAGATGTTTAAACACAATGAGAAAATGCGTTAACATTCGCGCTAGCATTTGCGTTACCATTCGTGCTAGCGTTAGCATACACGGTAGCGTTAGCATGCATGCTAGCGTTAGCCATACTAGCCTCTATAGGCCTACATGCTTATTGCACAGCTAGCATTAGCTATATTTACCTTGTTTAGATTTAGCGGTCCTATGTGTTAATCTGTGTATGTTACACTTGCATGTATGAGGTCATTAAGTGCCTTGTAACTTCTTTTTTATAGTTTCACTCCGTTTGAATGTCAGTGGACTGCTAATAAGTCAATAAAGGAGCATGGCTGCTCTCAAAAGAGTTTGGCTGGCTGTTTAATCTATGTTCACACTGAGACAGTACAACACATAGAGAGAACAGTACACCTATTGTGTAATAACATACAAGCAGGTCACACAGTATGATCATAAATACATACAATCTGTTAAAATCTGTTTTCATTTAAAAGTACAGGCTGCATGTGTTCTCAGCCTTGGAGAAACTTGACATGTTTTGGTGTGTCTGAACCTCTCTTTAGTGGTTCATTAATAAAACAGATATTTCAACGTGTGCCTACTTTGTTCATGTGCTGTTGAGGTTAATTTCAGTATGAAGAGGAGGCAACTTTATAATAGGGAACCTGTTCAGGTCAATTAGAGTCAAACTACTTGCATAGGCCTATAGGTTATGAACAAGACTTCACTTTAAAATAGGGAACATGTTCTTAGATATAAATACCTAATTTTGAGTTATTTAGACACAATTAACACTTATAGTTTCATGTCTTGTTACATAAGAATAGATCATATTTGTTAAGTGTTATTATGGGAGAATTACTATTCTTGTGGTACTACTGCCTTATTAGGCCCATATTGAGCAGAGCATATTAAGACCAAAACTCATGTACAACAACTTCCTTTGCAATAAATAAGCACTAATTAGAGGGTTATTGAGGAAAAACTCTCAACTAATGGCTTATTTCTTGTAGAATATGGTCATGTAGAATAAGGCATTAATAAGTGTTTTATAATGACTAATAAAGAGCCAATATACTGCTAATGTGCATGTTAATTAACAACTAGTTGATGGTTAATTTGTGTACCTTAATATAAAGTGTTACCAAAAAAACAAAACTGTCTGCAGTCATACAGTAGGACATGTGTGACGACTGAATTAGAGTGGATCCTCCCTTCACTGGTCAGTGAGCGAAGTTTTGTACATGGACACATTTGTATACATACATAAGATCATTAGAACATTTTAATTTCGAGACAGCCTGGTAGATTGACAGATCGATGAACCTTTTAGCATTTCCCTGCATTTAAAAAGAAAACAATCAGCGTTAAACATTCAAGCATAGGTCATTCATTCTAATCAGCTCATTCAGTTTTGCAGGAGTCAGTAGTGTTAGCAGACATCTTGGTAGCAACAGCAAGGACCAGTGGGTGGGAGACGATAAGGATTAGGACCAAACAGAACAGACCTAACCAGTTAGAGATGTAGGTCATAAATGCAGAATTCCTGTCCCGGATGTTCCCCTTAGCTGTTAACCTTGAAGAATGCAGGACAGGAAGTTGTTTCTACCACTTTCCTTACAGGTATCTTCCAACAAGTGAAGGACCCATTCCCACACAGGAGAGGTTGTAGTTAAGGACCACGGAGGACGGACCAGACTCTCCTCTTATATCTGTGATCCACCCATGTCTCCCCCGCCTGCAGGGTAGTGCCTCAACCCACCTCCCCTGCGCAGTGAGTGCAGCGCCACAGTGCAACAGCCTCGCAGCAGCGACCCTATATGATAAATGGGCTGTCCACCACGGGCGGGGCCACGACAGAACCACGCCACGGTTGGCACCACAGGGATAGCCACCGCCAGAAGATCAACCAGGAAGTGACGACTCCAGTAGGTTTTTACCATTGTCCCAGAGTCCGATGACTCGTCCTCCTTGGGTGTGGCTCCCCCTGTTGCGCCTTGTTCTTTAGCTTCATCTTCATCATTGTCCTCATCATGCAACTCCACCACAGTGACACCGGCGATCTCCTCTGAAGTGGATCTCCTCGGCTGTGAGGTGTGAGGCTGTTCTACGTCTGGTGGTAATCCTGAGCAACTGGGACTCAGTTCGGCTTTCTCTACCTGGGGTGATCCTGCTGCTAGACCAACTTCTTGCTGCCTGTCTTCCATGCTGAGGTTTTCTAGTGTTGACCCAACCTGTCTGACTTCTTCACAGCTTCCTCCAAACTCACCCTGCATCCCTGCTGATGTTTCTGTTAAATCCTCTTCTGTTCCGTGAACTTCCAACTCATTCCCTCCCATTGAGCCCACTTGCGTCTGCTGCTCTTCTTCTGCCAATCTGACCACCGTTGTTTCCTCCCGTTGTTCCGTTGTCACAGCTTCCTTCTCTCTGTTCTCCTTGTCTTGCTTTTCCTCTTCCTCCACATCTTCTCCACAAAGAGGACTTTCCATGGAGCACGCTACAGTAGCAGACCTTGGTAAGGAAGGGACCGGTGGGGTTTTGGTGACCAGAATCGGCTCTGTGGCCGTACTCATCATTGTTGCGGTGGTTATTGAAGTTGTGGTGGTTATGGAGTCCAGATCCTCATCGCCCTCATCAGACATCCAGGTGGAGGTGGGGCTGCAGGCCTGGGAGCGGAATGTACGTTGCTCTGCTATGGTATCCAGATCAGAGGGGTAACCTGCCGTTGCCGGGATGGGGCAGCTTTCGGTCTGAATGCCGGTCTCCCGCAAGGAGTGCAGGTAGAGGTGGTGGTGGGACAGGCAGGGATGGCTCCTACAGCCCGCTCCACCCAGACCACAACGAAGGGATGCCAGCCGCTCGCCCGTGCACAGCTTCTCATAGGTGGAGGAGTGTGGCATGGCGTGGGGAACAGAGTGGGACATATTGCGAGGGAAGGAGCGAGGCAAGGTATGGGAGAAGGTGTGAGGCAATGAGTTTGGCAGAGAATGGGGAAGGGGGTTGTGTAGAGTATGGGGCAGGGAGTTGGGCACAGAATGGGGCAGAGATTGGGAGAAGGTCTGTGCGTAGGAGTTGAGTAAAGATGCTGTTTCTTCAGAGAGGAATGCGGCCTCCAGCAGAAGGTCGGCCCGGCTGGTGACGTTGCTTTCCCCACAACACACAAAACCACTGTCCTGGGTGCCATCACCTGACAAACAAGGATAGTCCGGGCCATTTCCATTCCTGTCCCCAAGGGCTTGATCACTCAGCTTAGTGTAGGTGGAGCTCCTTGTCAAAGAACGGGCTGGAGAACAGTCGCAGGAACAAGACCCCCTTCCTCCTACTGCCGGTTTGGGTATTCCAGGACTTTCCCCTGATACAGATGCTGGTGCAGAACCTCCAACACGGGTCCGACTGCCTGGTATGGCTTCCCCCTCCTTGGCTAATCGAGCCTGGGCTAGCTCCATGTTGAGCAAAAGGCTCTCAAGCTTGTGGTTCTGAGTGTTGATGTCCTGAAAGTACTTCTGGACCCCTATGTCGCCGCTCAGCCCCCCAGCATCACTGAGCCTGTCGCGAACAGTGTCCACGGCCTGTTTGAGCTGCTGGATCTCCTGACGCGCATCCTTCAAAGCCAGTTGAGTCTCAACGCGGTGACATTCCTCCTCAACCCAGTCCTCCTGCATCTTGTAAAGCTGGCCCCTCAGGTCGTCTATCTCTACGTCCCTAAGAAGGTGAAAGTGGAGAAAAGAAAGGGGGTTAGGGTTAGGGTTAGAACTTGGTATATAATATTAAAAAAAGTCAGACTATAAAAACGCGGATACAAGCGGCCGAGATGGGTTTTCTCCGCAGGGTGGCTGGTGTCTCCCTTAGGGATAAGGTGAGAAGTTCAGTCATCCGGGAGGGACTCGGAGTTGAACCGCTCCTCCTTCGCATCGAAAGGAGCCAGTTTACCTCATTCACACCAACGGTGTTTCAGGGCCGGTTCGGAGCTGGAGCTTGAAAAGCACCGGGTTTTCCTGTTCACACCGCAGCGGAGCAGCCTCTTAGCTCCGGAATCCGGTTCGTTTCAAGCACCAAAAAATTGTCCGGCCAGAGCAAAAGCATCGCATACGTCACGCTTACGTCGAGGCAGGGGCAGGGGCGGGATCAACTCCTGAACAACAACAAAAAGCCGGCGCTGTATCCAGTTTGTACACAACGATGGAGAAACTTAACAAGCAGCAGTGGTCCACTGAAGAGACCAGCTACCTACTGGGAATCTGGTCTTCCGAAGAGGTACAGAGGAAGCTGGAGCACAATCAGCCATTGTTGTTGTTGTCGGTGTCAGCTGTGAGGGGTTTCCGCGCGGTTTGGCTTTATGAAGCAGGCACGTAAACGGTTACGTCATGACGCAAATGATGACGCAATGACGCAGCACCAGTCGGACTCTGGGCAGTGTGAAAAGAGCCGGAGCTAAACCGAAGAACCGGTTCTGAACCTGAAAAGCTCTAGCACGGAGCTTGAACCGGAGTTGCGTTGGTGTGAATGAGGTAGTTGAGGTGGTTCGGGCACCTAGTAAGGATGCCACCTGGGCGCCTCCCTAGGGAGGTGTTCCAGGCACGTCCAGCTGGGAAGAGACCAAGGGGTAGACCTAGGACCAGGTGGAGGGATTATATCTCTTCGCTGGCCTGGGAGCGCCTTGGGATCCCCCAGTCAGAGCTGGTTGATGTGGCCGTGGAAAGGAAAGTTTGGGGCTCTCTGTTGGAACTGCTACCTCCGGGAGCCGACCACGGATAAGCGGGAGAAGATGGATGGATGGATGGATGGATGGAGGACTATAAAAACTGACTCTCAGGGTTCTTTTTTAATAATCAGTTTCTCAGTATCTCACCTGTCTTGTAGAGTGTTGATGGTTTCCTTTAGCCTGGCCCGCAGGTGTCTGATACACACCTCTTTCTGCTGCAGCGGTGTGAGGTACTGCTCTGGTGGAGGGGGCCGGATGCCATGGTTGTCCGTACATGACGTGTATTTCTGGTGACGACTAGGACACAAGCATATGGAAGGTATTTTTCTAGGTTGACTTCAGTGACATGTTTATTCACAAGATGTAACCATCAAGACACTGCATGATGGTCTTGTAGGAAGGATTGGGTATTGCATAATATGTATATATCAACTATTTTAAAGTAGCTACCAAAAAAATAATTTATTTTATTTTATTAACAAATTATATTTAATTGTTTATTTGAGAATTTCTGGATTATTGATAAATGAAACAAAACATTCCAAACATGAATTGGACGTGGGCCGTGGCCTACTTTTAAACTTGCATACATTTTTTTTATGGCTGTCACCTGGGGGGCAGCAGCCTTACATACTTAATATTTTAATAATATATAATCCTAATTGCATTGTTATTTTCTATTCTTTCTTTTTCTCTTTCTCACTCTAAATATCACCTCATATGGCTAATAAGTATTCAAATTCAAAGGTTTTATTGTCATATGCACATAAGCTACAGTGTTGAAATGGCAATGAAATGATTCTGACCTGAGCTCCTCCAACAATGCAACATATATAATAAAATACAAAATAAAAATAAATAAAGATATTAGCCCAACAGTGGCTTGTTCCTTGTTTACATCTGAATCAAACAAACGGCCACATTAGCATTCATATAAAACACCAGTATAATGACCTCACTCACATTGCATTATGCAAACCTTCATTTGGACAATCAGTTTTTTCTGTTTAAGGAGCAAGACTTTGTTATCGACTACTAACTGAATTGTAAATTCTAAATATCTGAAAGAGAACCTGTTAATTTGTATCTGATAACACCTGTATTTCGTGTTTGTATTTGTAGATGTATTTTGTGTAATGTATATGGTACATGGACATGGAATTTTTGTCTTTTTTAATTAAAGAAGCAGATACTTTATAAAAAGCCTTTATTCAAAGCCTACAAACACTAAACAAAGTGCATATCTGTGTGTGATCTGTGATATCCATGTGAATAAAATAGTCTAAACCAAACTTTGTTCACCAGCTACAGTGTGTGCCAAACCAGGAAAGGATATATCTAGAAATGTCTTATTTCTTGCTATTTAGATGTTAAGGGGAAAATGTAAAGCTCTAAAGCCTGATTATCAGGCTAACAAAACCAACCATGCCGACCATGCGCATTGTCTTACCCTTTGGTGGGGCTGCACTCACTGCCTTTACAAGAGCCTGAGTTGCTGCTGCTGCTGAGGGGGGTGTTGCCATAGGGATCTCTATTGCTAGGCGCTGCCGGTGTCCGCCTGTTCAAAAGTAAAAGAAAACATGTTAAGCTGTTCCAAGTTCACCATGAAACCACACCCTAAACAACTAGGTGACAGTGACTCCTGTGAGCAAAACCACAAACTATAGTATAGTCCAATTGCATGCCAATACAACACAGAAATGCACAAATATGCAGACATAATACAAAGGCCAAAATCACTGCTAACAGACAACAGTTTAGAAACCAGGACACTCAGTCATTTTGGCACTAAAGAAAAATGACACTCAATGATATAACAGAGAAGAAGAACCATTCATCAAAATAAATGAAGTGATTTTACTTAATGTAAAAAAGGTATGAGAAGACAAAATAAAAAAATAAAAGAAGGAGGGAGTAACATGGCACACGAGACATGATGCTGTGTAAACAATTGTCAAATGGTTTCCATGTTGTAACATCATGAGCTGTGCAGCTTCTCAACATTCCCATGCTTCAGAAAGTGAACACTGACAGTGAAGAAAGAAGGGGACTCAGAACAGACCGAGAGCGGGGGGTCGAGGGAGAGTTTGTTGCACGGCTGTGGCGATCAGGAGACTTGTTAGTCGGTGAGTTGGACGATGCAAGGCTTTTTGTCTGGCGCATTGAGACCATATAGTCAGTCTCCATAGGAACGTAGTCTAGCTCTATGAACCTGCAGTAGTCAAACCTGGCCAGGCAGAGACAACAGGGTGTTAAATCACAGCAGGACAGCAGAGGACCAAACCACACTGACACAATGTGCATGCTTCCAATGTGTGCACACTATGGAGGTGAGGCAAAGCTGTCTGTCATATAGCATTCGGCTAATGCAGATGCTAAATGTCAATAAGCACTCAAACATTGACGGGCCCCAAGAGAGGGGCCACTCTAAAAGCATTGCAAAGGGAAAGACAGATAGTAGTGCTTTATTCACAGGGGCCACTCTCTTTGACTTTCCATATAAAATATGTATTTGATGCAATGATGACTTTAATGTAATAGAACACAGGCTAACACTCTGAATCCTCCATGAGCAGCAACAACAGCATTAGCACTTATTCAAGATCATTATACGTATTCCTTGACTCATTTATAGGATACTTTACTACTAAACTTACTGTCACGGTCAAATAGCAAAATATACAACAACATTACTTTTTTTCTGATAAATTCAACATACTTGTAGTTTTTTTTCATATTCTGAAATAATATACTACGTTGATTTTGTTCTGATAATTTTGATAAACTCTACTGGTGTATTCTGTTTAAAAAAATATATACTTGATATACGTACTATGCTACATTGTTTTTTCTGATATTTTTCTTAAACTATACTATGAATTCTTGTTATTTCTGGTAATTTTTTGGATACTGTAGCGTGACATTTTTCAACATACCATGCCATTTTGTTTTTTCAACATGTTCGACATAGTATACTGTGTTTTCTTCTGATATTGTCAACATACTACACAACTTTTTACGAAATGTTTTATGTTGATTTTCCTATGTTTTTGACATACTATATTATATGATATTTTTTAGATATTATGCTATGTTTTTTTAAAATGATATTCGAGTATATACTATGTCCTTTTTTATAAAAAATGTTGACATACTATACTCTGATATTTTGTCGTATTTTGTTATATTTTCGGCATACTATATTATGTCATTTTCCGACTATGTTGTATTTAATAAATAAATAAAAATCGATAATACTATAATATCACTTGTTTTTTAATATTTCCAACATACTATACCTTGTAGTAATTTCTGATATTTTTGACGTACTATACTATGTCGTTTGTTCTAAAGAAAATTCCGATAATACTATTATATGACTTTTTGTCTGACATTTTTCCGAAATACCATACAATGTTGTTTTATTTTATAATTTCCACATGATATACTATGTCCTTTTTCTTATATTTTTCACATACTATACTTTATGTTTTTAAATACCATTTTTCTTATATTATCGATTAAGGTTTTTTTTCTTCTATTTTCGACATACTATACTATTACTTATTTTTGACAATTAATACTATGACTATGAATAAAATACTTTTACATACTATACTATATCCTTTTTATCTGATATTTTGGACATGCAAAACGACGACATTCTTTTCAATAAACTACTCTTCGTTATTTTCCCTAATTTTTCGACCGACTATACACTAAGTTGTTCTTTCTGATATTTTCAACATACTATTATTTTTATTTATATTAATATTGTTTTACTCTTGGTAGGAATGCAAATAAGCATTTTTCCTAAAATGGAAATCTCTCTATCCATGTCTGACACTGCAAACACTTTTGAAAACATCACTTTGTCGATCATGTCAAACCACATACTGTCTAAAATATAATGTTGAGAAACAGATGAATAACCACACATTTTTCACCATTAACTATTGCTTCCATCCTGCTATAGAAAATAAAGTGATATCAGTGTTAGCAGGAGAAGGAAGGACAGGGGATCTGTGATGTCAGGACATTTGTTAATGATAATTAATATTGTCACAATAAGTGATAATAATAACACATAATGAATGTTGTAAGAACAGGTTAATATAAGGTCATGACTGTTGCCCAATCACTGGCCTCAGGAAGGGTCAGGCGGGACCAATCAGAGCAGCCATGAGGGATTTTCACACAGGACCCGATAACTCCACGCCACCACACTGAAGTCCAAACCATGGACACAGTTTTACCAAACAAGAACCTCTGTGCTCAAGCTGCAACCTGCTGGAGCTCTGCCCTGACAGGATGTGTTTTTTGTAAATTGTGTAACTTTAATTTTTTTTTTAATGCATGCTCTTTTCTGCTGTAACAAAGTAAATGTTCCTTCTGTGGGACTAATAAAGGTATTCTGATTCTGATTCTCAATAAAGTGTTCTCTAAATTCTACAACTTCAAGTGAGACATTGTAACTTTTGAAAGACAACATTAGGTACTCTTACCAATGGTAATATTTATAAGCAATGCGTTTTACTGTTGCTAAATTCATTAGTTAATGTGTTTTGCTCTTAATGCCTCTTGTGGTCTAGTAGGTACGGTCTGATTTTTTTGAGCTAGATATTGCTGTATAAAAGGACAGAACTATGTTTCTGTCATGAAGACATATTTGTCTTCAGGACTTCTCTCCACATGAGACACTTTTACATTTGTTCTAGCATTTAGCTGCATTTTATTTATCAACTATTTGACCAAAACCCCAATATTCTAAAGCTAAATACCAAAAGCTCATTTGTTTGACATCCATGGGGATGTTTATCATTTATTATGTGTTCCCAAGGCCCATTGCTCTGAAAATACACAACAAACCAAAGTTCATGACTAATGATTATTGAGAATGACTGCAAAGGCTTGACCTGCCCTATCCTTCCTACGATTGGTCCACCAAAGTTATTAGCCTCATCCTACCATGTACTAGCCAATAACAGACAGAGTAGGGAGGGTCATGCCTTTGCCATGGTAGGAAAACAAATCTGTCATTCTGTAAAATAATTAGCCATCTGCTTCTGTTTGTAGTAGGCAGAATATCTATTTTAAGAGCAATGGGTCTTAAACAATGGGCATTTGTTTTGGGGTAACACACTGTGGGACAGATGGGCATTCGGTCCAATGGAACATCTTTCCGACAATTGTTGTTTTGGAATAATGGGCAGTCCTCAAATTCACTTCAGGAAGGAGGTTGTGTATCACAACCTTCGATCAAATGGTCAATCCAGGCTACACTTGACAGAATGACACAATGTAGTGTAATTCTTAATTCTTTGTCAAAACATGGAAATCAATTTGTTTTGGGGGCTAATCCAAGCTTCTAGCAAGGGTTGTGCTGAGTAAGCGTGTCCTGTGTGATTCAATAAGGGAGGGGGCCAGATATTGACTGCTCGGTTCTTCTTTGAAGATCAATATATGACAAAAGCCAAGGCAGAACAGAAACAGGCAGAGGGAAGCGGCTGAAGCGATGAGGCGTTCATGGACCACAGTGTTTCAGATCTGTCCTGTTCATCTGCTGGGGGGCAACCTGTGTCTGGACTGTGACTGTGGAGGGGGGTTGACAGACTGGTGGAGGCTGGTGTGGGGGAGTGTTGCCCAGGAAAGGTGTTGGTTACTGTGGGTGGGTGGAGGAATATTCCGTTACACTGTGGTTTGTTCCTAGAAACATGGACTTCAAGATTAAGGCAATGTCGGTGCCAACTTCCTGTGGTCAGACTTTCTAGTGTTCATATCAAACATGGTGCTGTTGGCTGTGGTGAACCAGTGTGTGCTTTCACAGCACAATGATGGCGATATTTCCACCGTGCATGTAGCCTCTAAACACAACTTCATGCTACGAAAAATGACATAGAATATTGTCCAAATTGTGTTAGAAATTCTCCAATAGCCAATGTATAGGCTAGTGCTAATGGGGAATGAGGAACAATAGACTAGTGACTGGCTTTCCATTTTTCCTGGCCAGGATATAACAGACTTGGAGGTTAACACAATATGTGCTGGTATTAGTGTCAACTTCTAAGATGATTCTGAAAAGTGAGAGCTCCGACTGGGATCTCAGTATCACCATGTTTAAGTGAGACTGGTAGCGAGGTGTTGCCAGTGGGCTTAGTCTTGTTTTAGTGGCTACATAGCATGCCAGTGCTACAGCTACAGCTAGGGGGCATGCTCTCTGAGACTGTAACTGAGGTGAGTCTCACGCAGGAGGCACAGGGATAGCCACCGGTGCCGAGGCCCCCGCGGCAGCCCCCCCTGACCCTGCCGCCGCCGCAGGCACCGGGGCGGGCGAGGGCGCCAGTAACTGCTGCAGGCGGCGTTTGGGCTGCAACGCCCTCAGAGGGTTGAATCTGAGGAAAAGAGACGAAGAAAGAGAGGAGGACACCACAGCCACAGATTTAAGAGTGTGTACGTTACCATAACAACCAAGGACCACCAGTTGCAGTTTAGGAGGGCATTTATCTGTCTGTGACCAATGCATAAATCAAAGGCTCGGACATTTGGATGAGACTCCCGATTACAACACTTAGAACACAATCAGTATAAGTGCATTTTGGCACTTTTAATTGGCTTGTGATTCTTCAGCTTACCAGCCAATATCAATGCCAAATAGGCTCTCCATTTGATTTAAGTAGGGGACTGAATCAATGCTGTAACAATCATATATTGTGTACATTAGGTATAAAACATACATTCTGGTATTGCCTCGTTTGCACTGCAAAGAGGGAACATTTAGTCTGAGGCTTAATGGATGTGGAGAAAGTCATCACTGGTGCTTATAGACAAGGAAAGCTCAATAACACGGCCTTATCCGTCAACATGTATCCAGTAAACAGGCTGCGGATGTCCAGTCGCTGGAGGAGAAAACACATCAATACACTCAATAAACTGGGCTCAGGTTGCAGTAGCTGTTCAATGTCAGTGTGTAGGAGGCGGCTCACTAAATACATCTCATTGACAGTAATTCCTCCACTCTTCCATGGGGATCATTAGAGCTAAACAAGAAAAAGTATAGACAATAACTGCAGTTAAAGATGACACAACATAGAGGGAAAAAAACTGTTATAAATCATTTTTACACTAAATAAAAATATAAACGCAACACTTTTGTTTTTGCTCAACAATTGCAAGAACTGGATGTTTTCAGCCTCCAGGAATTGTGTACAGATCCTTGCAACATGCGGCCGTGCATCATCATGCTGCAACATGAGGTGATGGTCGTGGATGAATGGCACAACAATGGGCCTCAGGATCTCGTCACGGTATCTCTGTGCATTCACAATGCCATCAATAAAATGCACCTGTGTTCGTCGTCCATAACATACGCCTGCCCATACCATAACCCCACCACCACCATGGGCCACTCGATTCACAACATTGACATCAGAAAACCGCTCACCCACACGACGCCACACACGCTGTCTGCCATCTGCCCTACAGTGAAAACCAGGATTCATCCGTGAAGAGGACACCTCTCCAACGTGGTTTCTAACCTATTGCTGCATCAGCTGTCCGGGTGGTCTCAGACGATCTTGCAGGTGAAGATGCTGGATGTGGGGGACCTGGGCTGATGTGGCTACACATGGTCTGCGGTTGTGAGGCCGGTTGGATGTACTGCCAAATTCACGGAAACACCCTTTGAGACGGCTTATGGTAGAGAAATTAACTTTCAATTCATGGCAACAGCTCTGGTGGACATTCCAGCTGTCAGCATGCCAATTGCACGCTCCCTCAAAACTTGAAACATCTGTGGCATTGTGCTGTGTGATGAAAGTGCACATTTTAGAGTGGCCTTTTACTGTGAGCAGCCTAAGGCACACCTGTGCAATAAACATGCTGTCTAATCAGCATCTTGATATGCCACGCCTGTGGATGGATGGATTATCTTGGCAATGGAGTAGTGCTCACTATCACAGATTTAGACACATTTGTGAATACAATATGAGAGAAATAGGGCTATTGTGTTCATAGAAAAAGTCTTAGGTCTTTGATTTCAGCTCATGAAAAATGAGAGCAAAAACAAAAGTGTTGCATTTTTTTTTGGTTCAGTGTAGTGGACCTGGGCACCTCACACTGCAAAATGCGTTCATACTCATGCTTTATGGGGTTTTCCCTTTCCTGTAGTGTTATATACAGGGCTGCACATAACTGCACATAAAAAAAAGAGCACCTTGTCATTTGAAAAAAGGCGTATTTGCGTACCAAAATTGAGAGAGGGAGAGGGAGAGGGAGAAGAGAAAAGAGAGGAGAGAGGAGAGAGAGAGAAAGATATTTGCGAGTTGCATATGAACTCAGGGTCGGCACGTAGCACTGGCGTTATAGATGTTCGCCTAGGGAACCAGATCTGGGGAGGCGCTGCGCTGGCAGCTCTGGGAGGGAAAAAACATTTTGACCGTTGGTGCTCATCCTAATTTTCGGCCTTGATGTAACAACATTCATAATTAAGTAAATGTAACACCCTTTTCACCCCGGTTACACGTTTCATTTGCCCTGTACGATGGGCGCTGTAAGTGATGAAAATGGGAGATGTTGGCTTATCTGGCGCCCGCAGCTCACAGCCAAAATGCGAGTGAGCGAGGGAGAGAGAGAGAGAAGGGCGCACCGCCTGGTGTTGTTATTGGAATCTGGTGATATATATATAAGAAGAAGATGTTTCTACAATAATGTGGAGGGAGAGTCCTCTCCAGTCAGACTGAGAGGCTGATACTACAGCTCAGTGAGGTAAAGGACTCTGAGTGTTTAGATAGTTCACTTTAGTCTAAGTTCAAACAGTTTGGTCACAATTTATGTAAACACATATTTCCAAGGCACTCCTTTATAATTATTGGGATAAACAGGTTTGAAATCATTCCAATGTATACTATAGGACAGTAACCAAAAATATCCTTTAAAACTGGAGAGATAAAAAAAAAAAAATGCAAAAAAAAAAAATGTTAAGGTAAAATAAGATATGAATGAACAACACAAATAAAATAAGTTACATTCATTTGTTATTGGCTATGGTAGGTTATTGGTTATGTTCACATACTTATTTGATTACATCCACTTGTCTAAGATGACAACAGAGACTTTCAACCCAAAACCAGCAGCTAATCGCAGACTCAACCAGAGAGGAAGTAGTAGGCCTACATCATCAGCTACCATGTCTGACAGAGAGGAAGACAGTGAGGAGAACAGTCAGGAGGGTAGTGATGACAGCTTGTAGGATTACTGGTCGTGCTAATGTTGTCTTGTGTTCACCTCTGCATGTGTGTTCTGTGTTCACCTCTGCATGTGTGTTCTGTGTTCACCTCTGCATGTGTGTTCTGTGTTCACCTCTGCATGTGTGTTCTGTGTTCACCTCTGTATGTGTGTTCTGTGTTCACCTCTGCATGTGTGTCTTGTGTTCACCTCTGCATGTGTGTTCTGTGTTCACCTCTGCATGTGTGTTCTGTGTTCACCTCTGCATGTGTGTTCAGTGCCGTGTGTCTGGCAAATAAAGTCAAGACCCCCTCAAAAGTTACGGTTTATTTCATTTTAAGGATGAGCACCAAGCAACATCTCCAGGTGCTCCTTTGAGAACCAGGGCAAAAAAGTTATGTGCACCCCTGATTATATAGGTTATGTGCATGTAAATTGTCCTCAAAGGCTAAAATCCCCAAATTCCATCAATTGAACTCCTTTGATTATTTCCATAACACAGGGGTCATGAAAGGAGCGTCCACGTCGCGGCCCTGGGAGTATTGACGAGATCGACAAGATCAACAAGATCAAATAGATCGACTAGATATTGCTAATCCTATCACCACTACAAGCAACAGTTACAAGCTACAAAACAGCCACAAGCTACGCTACAAGCCACAAGCTACGCTAGCCGCAAGCTAGTCTGCACAAGCTACGCTACAAGCTACGCTGAAAGCTGTAAGTAAGCCACAGAACACCAAGAGAAAACATCATGCCTGGAGATAGACACAAAGGACGATGCCGTAAACGAGGGACCCCCTCAAGACCGGCATTGACAGTCATATCTGTGAACATTGAAGGGTTCTCCTCTGCAAAACAAACCATCTTAGCCGACCTATGCAGCAAGCAACACTGTGACGTCCTCTGCTTGCAAGAGACGCACAGAGGGAGTGAAAACAATCGCCCCACCATACCAGGAATGGTCCTGGCCATTGAGCGACCTCACCGGCAGTACGGCAGTGCTATTTTTGTAAAAACAGGCTCAGCTATAGAAGATACAGATATGTCAGATGGCCATAATATCGAAGTCCTATCTGTTGAGCTAAGCAGTGTTGTAGTAACATCTGTCTACAAACCACCACCTGTAGACTTTGTATTTCCCCAGCCAATCCCCAAAATACACGGCAAACCACAGATCGTTATCGGTGACTTCAACAGCCACAGTACCCAGTGGGGCTACCCTGAAATGAACAAGGATGGAGAAGCAGTAGAGGACTGGATGGATACTAACCAACTAAGTCTGATCCATGACCCCAAGCTACCACACTCGTTTTTCAGTGCTCGCTGGAAACGTGGCTACAACCCAGATCTCACCATGGTCACAAGTAACATTGCTGGACTGTGTAAAAAGACGGTGCTGGACCCTATTCCATCAAGCCAACACCGCCCCATTGGGATCCTAATCAATGCGGCTGTAGTCCCAACCATCGTGCCCTTTAAAAGGCGCTTCAATTACAAGAAAGCAGACTGGAAAGGTTTCACCAACGAGCTGGAAGAAAAGATCACAAACATAATACCAGTTAGCAAGAACTACGACCAATTTGCTAACCTGGTGCTGAAAACTGCTCGGAAACATATCCCACGAGGATGTAGAGTTGAATATATACCGGGACTTTCAAAGGACTGTGCAGGACTCTATGACAACTACGTCAGCATGTTTGAAGCAGATCCCTTCTCAGATTAAACAACTACCCAAGGCGAGAAGGTGATGGAAAGCATTGCCCAAGAGCGAAGCAAGACCTGGAATGCTCTTATAGAATCCACAGACATGTCAAAAAACACCAAGAAAGCATGGACACTTATTCACAAGCTACGAGGTGACCCTAAAGCAGCTCCTCAGCACCCAAAAGTCACGGCCAACCAAGTTGCCAACCATCTGCTCGAAAATGGAAAGAGTAGAAAGAGAGGGAAAAAGACCAAGCTGAACCGCAAGAAATACACAGAGGACCCTGCTTTTACAAGACAGCTCACTATGGAAGAGCTGGAAGGGGGAATCTCTATCCTCAAACCAGGAAAGGCAATTGGACTGGATAATATCGCAACGGAACAGATCAAGCACTTCGGTCACAAGGCAAAGACGTGGCTCCTACAGCTCTACAATGAGTGCTTAACAACACACAAGCTTCCTAACATCTGGAAGAAAGCCCACATTATAGCACTGCTGAAACCTGGGAAAGAACCATCCGCTCCCAAGAACTTCAGACCAATCTCACTTTTGAGCCACACCTACAAACTCTTTGAACGTCTGATCCTCAACAGAATTGGTGCCTTTGTTGACGAACACCTCATCCCTGAACAAGCAGGTTTCCGCCCTGGCAAGTCGACAACTAGCCAAGTACTCAACCTCACCCAGTACATCGAAGACGGATATGAGGAAGGGATGGTAACTGGTGCGGTGTTTGTCGACCTCTCAACTGCCTATGACACAGTCAACCATAGACGTCTCCTCAGTAAGATCCTGGAGACCACAAGAGACACCCGCCTGACAGAGCTGATTGAAAGCATGCTTGAAAATAGGCACTTCTTCGTTGAGCTAGGAGGAAAGAAAAGCAGGTGGCGAAGACTCAGGAATGGCCTCCCACAGGGAAGTGTGCTTGCACCACTTCTCTTTAACATCTACACCAACGACCAACCAAAAAGTGTAGACACCCGCCGCTTCATCTATGCAGACGATCTTGGCATAGGTGCACAAGCCACTGATTTCAAAACTGTGGAAGACAGACTCTCTAACGCTCTGGCAGAGCTAACACCTTACTATGAAGAGAACCACCTACGTGCAAACCCATCTAAGACACAGGTGTGCGCCTTCCACCTGAGAAACCGTGAAGCCAAGCGCCAACTGAAGGTCAGCTGGTCAGGAACCTCCCTTGAACACTGTGAGCACCCAGTCTACCTAGGGGTAACCCTGGACAGATGCCTCTCTTTTAAGACCCACACTGAGAAGACCAAGTGCAAAGTGAGTGT